GCTCTTCCACCTCTTCGTGGCTGTCGTCTCGATCTACCCATTTGTCAGCCAGCAGACACCTGCCGTAGGCCTCGATGACGATCTTTGCACTCTTGTTTTCCTTTTCTGTCTTTCATGTACTGTAGGCCATTTTTTATTGTCTTTTTATTCTTGAGATACCTCTTAATGTGTTACTACCATCAAATCTGTCCGTCTGCATTGCCTGCCTGTAAGTCGTAAACGTGATATACATGTGCGTAGACGGCCCCCTCTCTCTTCGTTTTGTCAGATTGACAACGAGCGGCTCTCGTCCAGTGCTGTGCTACGCCATGCAGTGCTTCTGTCTTCTTTCCGTCTCATTTTTCTTCCTGCTGTCTCACTTGCGCTCGTTGGCTGCCGAATCCCCGTCCGACTAGCCTTCTTTCAGCCCTATTCTGAGCACAAGCCGCAAGCCGCAACACACACATTCGGACGACGACATCCTTATATTGGTCGACGATGGCGTTCTATTCGCCGCATTTGTTTCATTCGTCTGTCTGCTTCTCCCATTTTTTTTTCTCTTTTTTCTCTTTTGGGGTTGATCATCGTCAGCCCGTCACCGGCGATCTCCCAGCTGTGCCAAGTCGGAGCGGCGATTGGCTGAATGGGGGGGGGATGGGCTGGGGCCAAGATATGTGAGTGTATGCTTACACCCCCATTTCAGCCTTTCAGCTCGAGCTAGGAAGGTGCCCCGTGGAGAATCCCGCTCGACAGTTGGTCCCTTCCTCAACGGTTATGTTCGCTCCTTCCATGTGTTGGTTTCCTTTTCGTCGATCGCTCTTTCTTTTCTCTGCGCCGTATAAAAGTCAACCACGTTTGCCATGCTCAGTCGCTCCTTCCTGTCCTTGGAAATGTCGAACCAAGGCGAAATACCCTTAATTTCATATCTCCATTTCCTTTCTTTTTTTGTCTTGTGTCTCTCCGTTCTCCTCGTCCTAGACAAACATGGCATCGGCTGCGCCGGCGACGGGGCCGGCGACGGGGCCGACGGCCCCTTCTCACAAGCCCAAGACGCTCATTGTCTGTTGCGACGGCACCTGGGTCAACGCCACCGCCAAAGCCAGCCGCAACGCACCGCCGACCAACATTTCGCGGCTCATCCGCGTGCTGCAGCCGACGTCGCACGACGGCGGGGCCCAGATTGCGCTGTACCACGCGGGCGTCGGCAGCAGCGGCGAGTTTGTGGACGAGTCGCTGGGCGGCGCCTTTGGGTTCGGGCTGGACCAGGACATCCGCGACCTGTACCAGTTTGTGTGCCTCAACTACCATGGCGGGGACCGCATTGTGCTGGCCGGCTTCTCGCGGGGCGCGTTCACGGCGCGGTCGGTGGCGGACCTGATTGCGTCCGTGGGCCTGCTGACGGCCGCCGGGGTGGACCGGTTCTACGACATCTTTGACGACTACGAGAACATGGCGGACCCGAAGCGGACGCCGCAGCAGTTCATCTGCCCCGTGGGCACGCTGGAGGCGTTTGCGGGGCAAAAGGGCGAGGCCTGGATCGAGTGGGAGAACCGCCGCAAGACGCAGTACCGCGCGTGGCTCAAGGCCGGCGGGTACACGGTGGACAGCTACCGGAGACCGTCCGAGTCTGGGTCCGGGTCCGAGGCCGAGGCCGAGGCCGAAGTCGAGATCCGCATCGCGGCCGTCGCCGTGTGGGACACCGTCGGCGAGCTGGGCATCCCTGCCGTGCCGGTGCTGGGCCTGCACGGCAGCGCGCGCCAGTGGAAGTTTACCAACACGCAGATCTCGGCCAAGGTCGAGAACGCGTTCCAGGCGCTGGCGCTCGACGAGCCGCGCTACGCGTTTCTGCCGTCGCTGTGGGAGCGCCTGCCGGGCAACGACGTCACCAACCTGCAGCAGGTCTGGTTCCCGGGCGCGCACTCCAACGTGGGCGGCGGCTACGCCGACCAGCAGCTGGCGAACCTGACGCTGGCGTGGATGTGCGACCAGCTGTCGGGCGTGGGTCTGGCCTTTGACGAGTCCATGCTGGCCGAGGTGTTTATAGACGGGCTGCGGTACAGCGCCGTGCACCCGTATCCGCAGGTGCCACTCGACCTGGCCTACGGCGGCCTGTCTGGGCTGAGTGGGAAAGGCGCCGCACTTGTGTCGTCCCTGTTCTCCAAGGACAAGCGGCGGGGTGAGCTGGCCAGGACGCAGTCGAGGCGGAGCAAGGGCGTTCTCCCGTGGGCGAACGCGGGGGTGATGGGCGACGTGGCGGTGGCGGCGGCCCGGACGGCGGTGCGTGACAAAGCCGACTGTCCCAGCAAGTACCTGCACAACCACCCAGCCGCGGTCCCCGCGGACCTCTGGGCGCGTGGCGCGCGCTCCTGGGCGCTGGGCCAGAGCCGCAAGCCCACCAGTCTGATCCAGCGCGCGGGCGGCCTGACGGTCCGCAAGCCCGCGCAGTTTGTGCGCGTCGACCCGGCGTCCAACATCGCGCAGCCGGACCAGCCGCTCGTCGGCACCAACGAGCGCATCCATGCCAGCGTGCGCGTGCGGCTGTCGTGCGGCGGCCTGTCCATGGACGACAAGACCACGTGGACGTGCAAAGGCCTGACGGGGCGGAAGCCACTACAGGACGACTTTGACGACGGCGGCAGCAGCAGCGACGTGAGCAGCAGCGACGACGGCCACGATGCGCCGCCGCTGTGGACGCTCAAACGAGTGGACGGCGTGGCGGATGTGGGCAATGTGGGCGGCAGCGACGCCGGTGCCGAGGGAGGCGCGTACTATCCCCTCAGCAAGGTGGCCGGCGCCGGCACGTGGCAGTGGGTGTACACGGGTCACCCGGTCCGACCGAAGCAGTTTGACGTCCACAGCAACAACCAGATGTCGACGGCCCCGGTGGCACGCGTTCTGCCCGAGGCGCTGCCCACGGGCCGGTGGGAGCGGCTGCTGCTGGGCCTGACGGTGGGCAAGCCGGACGTGCTGGCGTGGGCGGCGGCCAATCCGCACAAGAATGCGTGATCCTGTGGTGACGAATATGAAATTGGCTACGATGTTTGACATGTATGAGGCGTGATGATATAATGAATTATGTTTCTTTATTTGCTTTGCCATCCCGTCGCAGATTCATGCTTTCATATCGTTCAATTTGATGCTATTGATGCTCTACTCCTTGCCCATGCTGACTCTCCCACTCTCTCCCTGCAGCTCACCTCCAGCAGCCTCGGCCTAGTTGTAGATCTTGGCGGCCAGGCCCGGGATAATCTCCAGCTCCTTCTCCGAGCGCACGTACTTGCCGTCCTTGGTGATGTCGTAGCCGGGCAGCTTGCGCTGCTGCTGGCTCTGGCGCACCTTGACCCACTGCTGCGTCGTCAGGTGCTGGCCGAGCTCCGTAAAGGCGTTGGACTCGTAGCCCAGGCGCTTCAGCAGGGGGCTGTTGGTCAGCGGGTCGAGCACGACCTGGTTGTTGGGGCGGGCAAAGTAGAGCACGCCCAGGCGGTCGATGCCGGCCTGGTCGGCGGGCGGCGCGTGCACGCGGTGGATGCTCGACTTGATGTAGCCACCGGTTAGGGCGGTCAGGGCGTCGCAGGTGTTGATGGTGATGGTGCCGTCCTGGGCGCGGACCCACTTCCACTGGCCCTCGGCATTGAGGATCTGGAGGGCGGCGACGGGCTGGCGGAAGAGCAGGGTGATGGAGCCCAGGTCGGTGTGGCCCGGCGTGTACAGCTCGCCGACTTTCTCGTTGTCCTCGGCGCTGCGGGCCGCGTAGTGCATGTAGCGCAGGTGGTCCTCGCCGGCGACGTCGTACTGGTGGTCGCGCACCAGCTGCTGCTCGTCGGGCAGCTCGAGCAGGATGGCAAACAGCACCAGCAGCTTCACGACGACCTCGTCGTGGCACTTGCGCGAGAAGGCCTCGATGGCCTGGATGTGCTGCTGCAGGACGGCCGGCTGCTTGCGCGCGTGGAACCCGTCAAACTTGGGAATGTTGTACACCTGCACGTTGTCGCGGATCCCGTTGCCCAGGATGCGGTGGCCGGCCGGGCGGTAGCCGTTGTACTCGCCGCGGGCCAGGTCCTCGGCGTTGTGGAACTGCAGCTTCTCCTCGAGCGGCAGCGCGTAGAACTCGCGGCCCAGCGCAAACTGCTCGTCAATCTCGTCCTGGGTGATGTTGAAGTTCTTGACGTAGAAGAAGCCGACGTGGTGCACGGCGTGCTCGAGCTGCTTGACGAGCTCCTGCTTGCCGCCGGGCTGGTCAAACAGGCTGAGGTCGAGCGTGACGAGCTCGGCCCAGTCGACTGGCACGTTAAAGTTAGTCGGGGGTGTACATAAAGTGGACAGCTGAGGACAGTGCAGAGTTGGGACTCACGGTTCGCCTTGGTCGGCGGGACCTGCGCGTAGCGTTCCAAAAGGCCAGGCATGATGTGGTGATGGCTGTGGCAGTGACAGTCGTATGTGAAGGGGTGACGTTGGAGAGTGTCAGTCTTGATAATGATAAGAGGTTACGTGAATTGACAACTTTCAAATTTTATTATACCGTAGCTCTACTCGTCTTCCACAATTTCCATTTACAGATCACGGCCGCAGCCGTCTCTATTTAAGCACGCCATCGGCTGGCGAACTTGGCTCAACGCGGACACTCAGGTTGAGCGGCCAGAGTCACCAAGACTAGATGTGCCGAAACAGACATCTCCGGACAATTGTGACACGAAGCGAACTGTGTCGAGAGTGATCCTCCGCTAAGATAGCCTCGTGAGCGTGTTCTGCGACGACGCTTCCCACCTGCTCGCGTAGTTTCCGAAGCGACCGGCGGACGTCTTGACAAACACGGCGGCACGACAGCGTCAGCAAGCCACCGTCCGAGTCGACGTGACTACCGTCGACTGACTTTCGTCGCTGCCAATTTCCTTTCCACTCCACCAGCGAAGGAATGCGGAAACACCGTCCACAGGCTCGACAGAAGTGGCCTACAGTGGGAGTCAAGTGTCGTCCTCGTGTAAGTCGGGTACGTCGTGTAAGTCGAAAGTGGGGCCGGCCCGTCATCCGCCCATCCGCACTGTAAACCAGGCAAGAACGACCGGCCCCGCAGCACGCCATCCGCCTCGCGCCATCTCGCGACACATCTCACCATGTCCCGGGGCACAGAACCGTCCGTGGAGGTTCTTGCTGGTGGGCAATTGCCGGACCAAGCGAGTCACGTAGGCACGATGGGTGGCCTCGGCGATGTTCTGTTGCTGGTATATCCGACGGACGCCTTGCAGTGCCTCGTCTCGGCCGTTTGTGCCGGCTTCCTTTGCCGCGCGATCATTGCCGCCCTTTTGTTTCTTGCTCTTTTGTCTTTTCATCCTCTGTCCTTTCTCCTTTTCTCCCCTTCCCCTGGTCGGCCTTGTGTGGGTCGGCAACGTCCGTTTCGAGTAATTTCTGGTCGACACCCCGACCTCGCTTCAAGACCCTGTCCAATGCGACAAACATCCTTCTCAGATCTGCCTTGAACCGCGCTTCGTCCGCGGGTGCCCCGTATTTCTTCATGCTTTTCTTTGGCATTTATTATGATCGCGTCCCTCCTCCCCCTCCACCCCTCACCGGCCAGCACGCCATCTGACAGGCCCTCTTGTCTCATCAAATGCTGGACAATTCGTCTCGACATCGGATGGTTTTTCTTTCCTGGACAGTCTCGATGCCGTTTATGTTGTCGCCCCGGTGAGGCCACGCGCACCCATATCGGCTCCTTCGACGCACTAGCCCCGGACCATTTTTGTGTCTTTGTTTTATGTTCCTTATCTCCTGTCCATTCTTGGCTTGTCCGTTTGCGGTTGTATCCGGTAATTGTCCGTCCTCTCTTGCCGACCGCCCTCACGTCTTTGCTTTCCCATTCATGTTTACTTAACCAGTCACCTCGTCTGTTCATGATTGGTACAAAATGGCGAGATCTGTGGACGGAAAGACGATGCAGATGGTTGATGCCGCACGAAGTAAAATTGCAGCTGGTTCGGAGATGTCCCAGGATTTTGGCAACCAGGTACTTGGGATGGCGTGGACAAATGAGGGATGAGGGACACGCACGAGACACATGGCCGTGAGACGAATGTACGTCAGGGAGGTAGTCGATGGAGACTCTTGTCATTGAACAAGATCGACGAAACATAAAAAAAACGACGCCGTGTAATGCTTTCCTTTACGCTCCTTCGCCTGCTTTCCACACCCCATCTGCCGTAGGTTGCCTGCCCTCAACTGCAAGGCGTGATCGACCTCCACTCTTGAGCGAGTGTACAGAGTGCCATTTTGGATACGATCTGTGTTTTCTGTCTCACCTTCGGCTTGCATTTCAACTATTCCAACGTGGAGTCTGCTGTCGTCATCGGGTCCGTCCGGTGTGCTGTCGCTGTCTTTTAAAGTCGACTCGCCCTCCCACTCTCTTCATTGGCGACACAAGTCTCACCTCTACGTTTTCACCCGTCCGCCACTCCCACCATGGCCGACGTCCTGAAAGGATCCAGCAAGCGGCTGACGCCGTGGCAGCTCTTCAAGGAGGTGTTCAACTGGTACCCGGCGGAGTACCCGGCGGCGGAGCGCAAGCTGTTGTTTAAGCTCGACCTCTCCATTCTCGTGTTTGCTTGTCTTTGCTGTACGTCGCCGTCCCTCGTGTGTCTCTTTCGTGTGTGTGTCAATACCTGCGCCTTGCTAACTCTCCAGTCTTTGTCAAATACCTGGGTGAGTGCCACAATCGTCAAAGCGTGCTATGCGGCCTGCTACACGGTATGTAAGCATGTACTTACGTGCCATGCATAGACCAGACCAACATTAGCAATGCCTACGTCAGCGGCCTCCAGGAAGACTTTGGCCTCTACGGCAACCAGCTCAACTACTTGAATGTCACCTACTACACGGCCTACGTCGTCTTCCAGGTGCCGGGCCTCCTGCTCATGTCCCGGCCGCGGCTGGCCCGCTGGCTGCTGCCGACGCTCGAAGTGCTGTGGGGCATCGCGACGTTTGCGACCAGCCGGACCACCAACGTCCAGCAGCTGTATGCCATTCGCTTCTTGATTGGCATGCTCGAGGCGCCCGTGTTTGCGGGGACGCACTTTATTCTTGGTACGTGTCGATAGTTCCTTCTTGCGCCGTCCGGGAGAACGGCGTCACTTTCTCCGTCTCTCGTTTGCTTATTTTTTTGTACTGTTTTTTTGTCTAACCCCCCCAGGCTCCTGGTATGGCGGCCACGAACTCTTCAAGCGCGCCGGCACGTGGTTCATCTGCAACGCCCTCGGGTCCATGGTCAGCGGCTACCTCCAGGCGGCCGCCTACACCAACCTGTCGGGCGTCGGCGGCATGGCCGGCTGGCGCTGGCTCTTTATCATCGACGGCGTCTTCACGCTCCCCGTCGCCCTGCTGGGCTACGTCGTCTTTCCCGGCGTTCCCGACTCGCCCAGGCCGTTCCACCTCACGGACGCCGACATTGTCCTGGCCAAGCAGCGCCTCACGCGCTTCAAGGTGCGGCGGCCGGGTCCGCTGGGCCTGGACGTGTTTAAGCGGTCGCTGCAGCGGTGGCACATTTGGGTGTTTGTGTTTTGCTACATGTACGTTGGTCCTCGCTCTTTTTTTGTCCTCGCTTCGCTCGCTACCCTCTTTCTGTCCTCGCTTCCCTCTTTCTGCCCTCGCTTCGCTCGATTCCTTTTCCCGCTTCGCTCGCTCGTCGCTAACACCTCCAGCTGCATGATCTGCTCGTCGTACCCCATCTCCTACATGAACCTCTGGCTCAAGGCCGAGGGCTACTCCGTCGTCCAGGTCAACCGCCTGCCGACCGTCACGTACGCCATCAACATTGTCGCGTCCTGGCTCGGCACCACGCTGGCCGCCATCTACCCGTCCTGGATCCTGTATACGATCGTCGAGACCTGCTGCGTGTTTTCGACCATCTGCATGATTGTCTGGGACATCCCGACGGGCCTCAAGTTCTTTGCCTGGTACCTGTTTGGCGTCGCCGGCTGCGCCAGCCCCATCCTCTACTCGGCCGTCAACACGATTGTGCGCGACGACTCGGAGGAGCGCGCGCTGATTCTCGGGTCGATGATGACGGTGGGCTACTCGTTCAACATCTGGGTGCCGCTGCTGGTGTTCCCGACGGCCGGGCCCTACGGCGCGCCGCGGTGGCGCAAGGGCTGGCCGTTTATCCTGGTGTTTTTCGTGCTGCTGTGGGCCGGGTTCGTGACGTCGATTGTGCTGCACCGGCGGGACCAGACGCGCAAGGCGGTGCATGCGGGGAGGGGGCCCCCGGTTGACGGGACGGACAGCGAGGGGGAGGAGCGGGTGTCGGAGGCGCTGTCGTCGTCGGACGATGTGGTCGTCGTCAACACCACGGTGGAGACAAAGGCATAGTGGCAGTACTTGACAGGAGGGAGAGTATATTGGCCAGTTCAAAATAAACCAAACAAACTAATTGGTATCAACGCTATGTATCAACGCTATGGTATCACGCTGCATGACAAGACAGAAAAGACGACATCCACACACGGACGCTAACTCGTAAAGGCCTCCTGGTGCAACCACACTTCAGACGCGCCGGCACCGCCCGCAACGATCCGGCGCTGCTCTGCCGCACAGGCCGCAGCCACGTCGTGGGCCATGGAGGACGGTCCACAGACGGCCACGCCGACGTGGCGGTTGGGTGCCGACGACACGGCGCGGATCAGGGCCGGCAGGTCGGCCTGGCCACGGCGGTACTGGACGTCGAGCGTGGCGGTGGATGCCGTGGCGGATGCAGTGGCAGACCCGGCGGCGGACGAGGCCGAGCGGCCCGTTTCTTTTGTCGTTTCCACCTCGACGGGAGCCGCACCTTTCTCGTCACTGCCCGACGCCGCGTCGTCGTGGACACTGTCTGGGGCGGTCCCGGGCACCGTTTCGGGCACCGCTTCGGCTGCCTCGCCCGTGGCATGCAGCACCACCGCGACGCCCGACAGACCACCGTCGTAGTTTCGATCAATGGCCCGCAGCGCGTCGACAAACCACGTGCGTAGGGCCGGGTCGCGGCTGGACACGACGGCCAACAGCGTCTGCGCGCGCCCTGCCCGCTGCTGCTGCTGCTGCCGTCGCACGAACCAGTCTTGGACCAGGCCCAGCGCAAACCCGGCGCCGGCGCCACCGGCCACGACGAGCGTCTCGTCAAAGCCCTCGTCCCAGCGGTGGGGGACGCCGCCGTAGGGTCCCTCGATGAACAGCGGGACCGACCGGCCCGGGCGCTGGCGGGCCATTGCGGCGAGCCGGCCGGTCAGGCCTCCGCGGGGCCGGACGTAGAAGACGGCGTCGCCGTGGCCCGCGACGGAGCAGATGGTAAAGGGATGCGTCGTGAGAGCGTGGACGGCGCCGCCCGCGAGGAAGCGGAGGTACAGGTGCTGGCCGGGCCGCCAGACGAGGGCGGACGCGGACCGGGACGCGTCGGGGGTCGTGACGGCGATCTTGAGGGTGTGCGGCGAGACGGCGTCGAGGGACGCGGTGCGCAGGCCGTGGGCGAGGTAGGTGCGGGCGACGGCCCAGAGCAGCGAGGCCAGGTAGAGGGCGACGGCGGCGATGATGTAGTCCCAGGAGGTCAGGGTGTAGTCGCAGTGGAGGAAGAGGAAGACGAGAAAGACGAGGACGAGCGCAAAGTGCAGGCCCTTGAAGACCTCGTAGGCGCGGTGCCGCACAAAGGGCAGCGACAAAAACGTCAGGCCCGCCTGCGCCAGGAGCGCGACCACGCCCGTCAGCCACTGGGCGCTGCTGTTCCAGTTGGCCTCGAGGGCCCCCGGCACGGTGGCGTTGTAGACGATGAAGGGAAACGTGTGCAGCAGCGCCAGTACAAACATGCCCCAGGCGGCCATGAGGTGGAAGATGACGAGCTTCTCGGGGGCGACGCCGGTCGCGGCCGTCACCAGGTTGGCCTTGCTGCCAAACACCAGGATGAAGGGCAGGCAGCCCATGGCCAGGTAGCCTGAGCGCGTGGCCAGCGGCGGCGAGTCGCCGTAGTGGGCGTCGGCGGTGTTGGGCCAGTAGTAGGGCTGCGGGCCGAGCGTGCAGCCGGCGAAGAACGCAGCGCCGGCGGCCCCCAGCAGGCAGACGCCGACCGACGGGCTGTTCCACTGCAAGAAGGTAATGCGCGCGGCGTTGGGGTAGGCCAGCGACCGCACGGCGGCGAGGACGCGCAGCCAAGGCCGGCAGCGGCGGACGGACGCCGGCAGGAGGCGGCTGAGGAGGTGGCCCAGGATGAAGACGGCAATGGTGGCCACAAAGAAGTAGACGGCGGCGCGGCCGTAGACCAGGTCGGCAATGTACCAGTTGACCCAGCGGCGGGATTTGTAGGCGCACTGCTCGGCGGTCATGGTGCAGTTTGTTTCGCGCGACGAGTGAAGCTGCACCGGGGAGGTGAGCCACTCGTAGGGCATGTCCATGTCCATGGGGGGACGACAAGGTGTGTTGTGATGTAGTGATGTGGTGATGTGGTGATGATTGTATTCTGGTGACGATGAATTCTGGTCGATGCCAAGATTCTAGCGAGGACGGAGAAAAGAAAGTGAAACAAGACAAACAGACGAGACAATTAGACAGTAATGACAGCAAGACAGAAGTCGGCAAGAATGTAAAGACCTGGGAAAGGGGAGATGGTTGTATATAGTATGCGGTGGGTCTTTTATTCTTAACTTGTCAACTGTTTATTCTGCTTCGTTCCCTTATTTCTTCCCCTCCTTATTGCTTCTTATTGACTCTCCCCGGCCTCTTACGGCAATCGTCTCGAATGCGATTCTGCAACAGATGGCGAATAAGAGAAGCGCTGATGGAGAAATACGTCTGCAAAGAAGAGCACAAGGGCAAAGAAGACTGCACAAAATGCCAAGACAAACACTATCCGCCATAAGGAGTGAGCAAGTTTGCGCGGCTTTGTGCGGGCCGTGTCCCATCAACCCTGGTCGTCAGTGTACACAGTATTCTGTACGTCGGTTGTCGATGGTTGTCCATATGCAGATCGACGTGAATTATGCAGGAAGTCAGAAATGGGGATCCTGGTGGTTGCTCATGGCCACAATGGTCTCTTTTTTTTCTTTTTCGAGTTCAGTCATTTCGGTAAACAAACAGTGGAAGATACGAATGTACTCCATCCACCATCCCCAGACGCTTTGTACTAAACGACTGGAATGGAGTACAACATGTCGATCATTTTGGGGAGACGGCACGACGCGGCGACATCCCCGACGGTCCACAAAATCCTCCAAGATGTTGTCTGGACCGGACAGTGAAGCCGCACAGTGACATAATTAGGAGCACTGCAGACACGACAGGCGCCGAGGACGATATACGCCCATTCTCCATCCTCATCCTTTTGTGTGGTCGTAAGTCGTATTCAGTCGCCAGCACGCATGGCCGTCTTCTCTCACGCCGTCTACCTCATCTGACGTCGTATCGACATACTACATCGTACTTCTTAATTCATGGACATCCGGCAAAATGCGCGACCAATAAATCGCGGCCAATCATGCAGAGCCCTCGTGGTGTTTTGCCCCTTTCCCATTCTGGCCAATCCGGCGTCTACACTCCGTTCTCCATACATACTCCATACTCCCTATGCTGTATTTACTTCCACCCCCACTGCCTCTATTTCCGACCACGTTGGACGATCTCTGTTTCTGTCCCACGATGCACAATGCATTCTTCCGTGCTCCGTCGTGCTCCGTCAGTTCCCATCTTATGTGTCTTGTCCGTCGTCTACCCTGGTTAGAATACGATTATAATGACGGATTGGTAACGAACGGTTTGCGAGTCGAAATGCGAACAGCCAGACCTTTATGTGTCTTGTTATTCTATTCCTATTTCTACTTCTATCTCTGTTTTGGTGCTTTTGTTAGCCATTGTGGGCGTATCACCTTGCCCCTTTCCTGACACTCGTCCCTCCGTTCATGCCCTGTTGTACGTCTCCAGTGTATCCAAGGGAATGCCCAGCGCCTTGCAGCGGTCTGCATTGCCAAACGGCACCTGGGCGCCGTTCCACTGCAGCAGCCGCACGGTCGGGGCCGCGGCGTCGACGGGCGTCCAGGGCCCCGTGGCCCGCGTCTGCTGGAGGGTCGCCGCGTGGCCGCGCACGGCCAGATAGTCGGCCGGCGGATTGGGGTCACCCGTCCGCGCAAACGCGGCCCAGTAGTCGACGACGAGCTGCATAAAGGGCACGTCGAGGCCGTCGCGGTCGGGCCGCCCGGCGCGCGCCTCGGTGCCAAAGACGACCATCTGCTCGCCGGCGTGGCACTTGTAGTACTCGGCGTCCGGGTCGCCGTGGACGCGCGCGGGCGTCGCCGGCGGCACGCACCAGGGCTTGGTGTAGCCGGCGGTCTGGTAGGTGCGGTTGAACTGGAAGGCGTACGTCGCGCGGAACGTGCGGTGCCGCGCGGCCGAGTACGCCTTGGCCAGGTCGTAGCAGGTAAACTCGCCGTCGGTGGCGAGGGCCATGCTGGCGTTGAAGATGCGCGCCGGGTCGGTGGCGTTGGCCGCGACGCCAAACGCAGACGCGACGGCGGCGTCCGCGGCCGTCTGGGCCGTCGCGCTGGCGGGCAGCCCGAAATGCGTGCCGACCGGGCCCGCCAGGTACGCCGCGAAGGTGGTGGCGTTGCCCGGGTAGTCGTCGACCAGCACGCCCGCCTCGTCGCGGTTGACGCCCGTCATGACGCTGATGTTGCCGGCCAGGTTCGGGTGGCGGCCCGTCCCGTTGACGACGAGCCACGGCTCCGTCAGGTAGACGCCGTCCACGACGGCGCCGTTGACGTTGGTCGTCAGGTTGGTCAGGGCAAAGCCGGACAGCCGCGCGAGGCAGGCAATGGCGGCGGTCGTGTTCGTGGTCGTGTTCGTCGTGGTGTTTGTCCCCCTGCAGCCCGCCTCGGCCAGCACCTTGGTCGTCCGCCCCCGGAAACTCGCTGCCGGCGTGTCGTACTGCATCCACGCAAACCGCCCGTTGCGCGGGTAGCCCTGCGGGTCCGACTGCAGAATGGCTCGGTGGAAGAGCCCCCGCGCCTTGGGCGACCCCAGCAGAATGTGCGTGGCCTGCGCGCCGGCCGACTCGCCAAACAGCGTCACCCGCGACGCGTCGCCGCCAAAGTACCGCGCATAGTCGCGCACCCACTCGAGCGCCGCCACCATGTCGCTCAGCGCGTAGTTGCCGCGGTGCACGCCGTCGTCAAACGCCAGGAACCCGGCGTTGCCCACGCGGTAGTTGACCGACACCACGACGACGTCGCCGCGCGACGCCAGGTTCGTGCCGTCCGTGTTGGGGTTTTTGCCCGAGCCGGACGTGAAGCCGCCGCCGTACAGGTACAGCATCACGGGACGGAGGGCCGTCGTGCTGTTTGTTGTGCCGTTCGTCGCCTCCGCTGTCGTCTCGTCGCCCATCGCCGGGAGGTGCGGCGTCCACACGTTGGCAAACAGGCAGTCTTCGCTACTGCCGCTGCGCACCTCGCCAATGGGCTGCACGCAGTCGGCGCCCGCCGTGACCGCGAGGACGGGCTCGTCGCGGATGGCAAATTCGGCCTTCTCGGCATACGTGAACCGCGCCGGCGGCTTCGCGTACCGCACGCCCCGGAACTTCCACACGTGCAGGTCGCGGTAGCCCGTCAGCAGCGTGCCGTTGACCGACTGCACGACGCGCCATTCCGCGCCATTTTCGGTGTCTGCCGTCGACGAGTTGGACACGGGCGCCGACTGCGTGCAGAGGATCGGCAGCGGCGTCAAGCAGTCGGTGGTCGTGACGTTGCCCGCCGCATTGATGGAGCGGCAGGAGTCCGAGTCGGCCGTCTCCTTGGCCACCCAGTACTGTTGGTCGTGGGCCGCGCCTCTGTACGCCTGGTAGGCCAAATTTTGGAGGAGATGGTCATTCGAGGCGCCCACAGGTGTCTCGCCGAGCAGCGTGCAGCTCGTGGCGGCGGCGCTGAACGGCGACGGCTGGTGCACCAAAATGGCCGCAGAGCCGTTGTTGGCCGCGCCGTCCAGGTTGTTTTGGGACAGAATGGTGAGGCCGCCGCCGGTGAAGAGGCCGAAGGAGGGTTGGATGAGAGGGAGGAGGAGGAAAGGCGCCAAGCCGGCGACACTGGATCTCGCCATTTTGTGTCGATGTCGAGCGATGTCGAGCGATGTCGAGTCGAGGCGTCGTGGCAAATCAATCGACCCTCGACTGCATGGGCCTGCATTCTATATATCGGAGAGGTGCCTCGACCTCCGACCGGACTTGTATCCGTCATATCTGTATATATGTACATCTATATGTGCAGGCATATATAAACACCGGGAAAATGCATTAGCCGGTGGGCGTGCATGTAATCTGAAGAGAAAAACGGGATATTCATGTAAAAGAGGGCCACAGCGGTTTAAACTGGCAATATACCCGAGACGGCACACCACACGCAACGACAGAAGTGTACTCCTCGCTCTTCCTCTTTATATCCATATGTCGGTTTGTGTTTTCCGTCGACATGCAACCCCAGCCACGTTAAACTCATGTAACTGGGTGGTCGCTCCGGAACCAGCCCTCCATATAGGCCCTACCATCTCGGCGTGGTCGATGAGGTCGTCGTTCTTCGCCGCCATATCGCCTCTACGTAGGAACAAAAAGTAAACAACGGAAACAAACATATATTAGGTATTGGAGGCAGAGTCTAGGAGAACAACTTGAAAATCAAACGCCAGGCACCAAAACGAAGATGGAAGACAGCAAGGAAGGAAAACAAAAAAGGAGAGAATGAACACAAATCGAAAAAGAATTCTATTACACATCCACCCAGCCTCACTTCGTTCGTCTGGCCGCCTGGCCGTGTCTGTCTACTCCGACCGCGCGCTCTTCGTCTTCTTGCTGCGCAGCTTCATCATGACGACGACCATGAGGTACGACGAGATGCAAAAGAGCGCGGTGATGCCGGTGTCGCGCCAGGCATAGTACTTTTCGTTGAGGTTGAACGTCTTGGCGTAGTCGCCGCCGGTCGAGTAGGCGCAGTACTGGCAGGCGGCGGTGGCGTCGGGGTCGGCGACGTAGCCGAAGCTGTACTGCAAAAAGGGGCCCATGTATTCGCCGCAGGTCTGGTTGGCGGGCGGGTCAAAGACGGTGTACTCCTGGTCGGCGCAGCGGACGGGGACGTCGTAGATGACGGTGCCGAGCAGGCCGCCGACGAGGTAGTTGAAGGGGTCGAGGTAGTAGAGCCAGTAGCGCCAAAAGGGCTGCATCTGGGCGTAGGGGACGACGACGCCGCAAAAGGTGATGAGGCCGGCGCCGATGAGCAGCGGGTTGGAGATGGCGGCGAAGTAGTCGTTGGGCGCGTAGGCGGCAATGGCCTGGCCGATGGAGGTGTAGAGGAACTCGTAGACTGCAAAAAAGTTAGTGTTAGAGTCAAAATCAAACGTCAGAAAGCAAGGAGAACAAAGGACATACAAATCATCTGCAGATACATGTGCCCCGAGATGCTGGCCTTGACTGGAAAGCCAACGGTAAAGTACCAGCAGGCAAAGTAGACGGTGGCGCAGATGATGAGGTAGGGAATCTCCGACACGATCTGGGCGCCGACAAAGGCCAGCCAGTGGTAGGTCTTGCTCTTTTTCTCGCGCGTCTCAAAGAGGTCGCGGTTGTGCAGGAAAAAGGGCTGCATCTGGTTGACACAGCCGGGGGCGACAAAGACAAAGTTGAAGATGGCAAAGAGGCGCAGCTGCAGGTCAAAGGCGGTGTTGCCCATCTTCCAAAAGGTGAAGCCGCCAAAGAGGGCGGCAAAGATGTGCAGGTTGATCTTGTTCCAGACGTAGTCGGGCGAGCGCCAGAGCTGGACCATGAGGCGGTGCAGCACCATGCGGAACTGGAACGGGAGGGGCGAGGCGTACTCGAGGTCGTCGCCGGCGGGGGGTCCGTTGTCGGCGCCGGCGCTCGCGAGAGTCAGCATCTTTTGGTAGGCGGCGTCGCGCTCGGGCGACGCGTCCCAGAGGTCGACCCAGTCGGCAATGGTGCGGCCGCCGGCTTTGCCCTGGATGACTTCGACGATGTGGTCGGCCGGGTTGGTGTCGGGGGGACAGGGGGCGCCGTTGCGGGCAAAGTAGTCGAGGACGAGGTGGGAGCGGTCGCCGGTGGGGCCGAAGTAGGCCATTTTGCCGCCTTTGGCGAGGAGGAGGAGGGAGTCGAAGGCTTCGAAGAGGACGGCGGAGGGTTGGTGGATGGTGCACTGGGAGGAGGAGCGAGTGAGCGGAGCGAGCGAGGAAAGAAAGCGATTGAGCGCAGCGAGCGAGGAAAAAAGACAAAAAGACTTACGAGGACGGCCTGGCCGCCGTCGACGAGGCGGCGCAGGAAGCGGATGATGTTGTAGGCGGACTGGCCGTCGAGGCCCGACGTGGGCTCGTCGAGGAAGAGCAGGGTGGGCTTGGCGACGAGCTCGACGCCGAGGGTGACGCGCTTGCGCTGCTCGATGGAGAGGCCGGCGCCGGGGACGCCGATGAGGGCGTCGGCAAAGGGGCGCAGCTCGAGCAGGTCGAGGATGTGGTCGACGTAGGCGAGCTTCTCGCGGCGGGGTGTGGACTGGGGCTGGCGCAGCAGGGCGGAGAAGGCGAGGGCCTCGCGGACGGTGGCGGTGTCCTCGTGGACGTCCATCTGCTCGCAGTAGCCGGTGAGGCGCTGGAAGGAGATGCCCTGGGGGCGGCCGTCGATGAGGATGGAGCCGGTGATGCGGCCGGCGTCCTTGCGCTGGGCGAGCACGTCGAGCAGCGTGGTCTTGCCGGCGCCGGAGCTGCCCATGAGGGCGACGAGGTGGCCGGGCTGCACGAAGCCGAAGATCTTGTCGAGCAGCTGCAGCTGGGCGCCCTGGTGCTTGACGTAGTAGTCGAGGCCGTGCCAGCAGAACGTGGACTGGCGGGGGGCGGAGGCCGACGGTGACTCCGCGGGCGGTGTCAGCGCCGCGCCCGTGGCCCCCTCCTTTTCCTGCTCGCTGACGGGCACGTCCTCCATGTCCGGCACCTTGGCGGCGCTGCGGAAGTGCCGCTTGAAGAGCAGCACGGACGAGCCGCCGCTGCTGCTGCGGAACTCAAAGGCGAGTGCGGTGACGGCAATAAAGAACACCCAAAAGGCCACGACGACGCCGAAGCCGCGCCAGACGTGGCCCGGCGAGTAGTTAAAGTGCTCGCGGATGTACGTGACGCCGTCGATGAGGCCCGTCGCGGCGTCGCTGCCGGGGACGGTGCAGCCGCGCGTGGCCGTGATGCCCATGTCGTCGTAGCCCGGCCCGTAGGGCACGTAATTCGGCGCGACGCACGCGAGCGACAGGCCGTCAAACTCGTTGGCGACGAGCGCCTCGAACGCGTAGGCGCCCGGGTTCAGGTAAAAGAGCCAGCGGAACCAGGGGTGCATGCGGTTGTAGGGGATCAGGTAGCCGCCGTAGACGAAGAAGACGGTGCTGAAGAGGCCCATCATCTGCGACGCGAGGCCGAAGCGCGTGCACAGGGCGCCGATGGCGCGGAACAACTGCAGGAAGCAGAGCGTGCAGGCGACGGTGACGGCCCAAAAGGTGAAGAACTTGGCGGCGTCCGTCTGCAGCGCGGCCATGAAGTAGATGATGAGCGAGAACAGCGACACCTGCACGAGCACGACGGGGATGTCGGTGAGCGCGTTGGCGATGCAGAACGCCGTCGGCCGGTAGAAGCCGAAGCGCTTGTGGCGCATCAGGATGGGGCGCCCCGTGAAGGAGGCCGTCGTCTCGGACATGCCCTCGAGCAAGAAGTAGAGCACGGGGAAGAAGAGCACGCCGGGCCGCAAAAAGGTCGACAGGCTCGTGTGCGGCATGTTGTAGAAGAGGCTGCCGCAGACGAGCGCCTGCACCGTGGCCGAGAAGATCTTGACGCCCAGCGACAGCCGGTCGCCCAGCATGATCTGGAACTGCCGCACCGTACAGTGCCAGATCTGGTCCAGCAGGCCCGCCGTGTACACGCTGCGCGGGCCCACCGTCCACACCCGCCGCTCCGTCTTCTCGCCCGCGACGGCCGCCTGCAGGTCCGCCACCTCGTCCACCCGCGTCGCCGGGTCCACCTCGCGCGCCCGCATCTGCTGGCACACGGCGCTCTGCCGGAACGCGGCCACGAACTCCTGCGGCGTGCTGGGCACGGCGCCCGCGTGCGACGGCGCAATCTGCCGCTCAGTCGCGACCGTCACCGACGTCAGAAAGTCGGCAATGTTGGCGCCCGGCGGACACACAAAGCCGAGGCCCTCAAAGTAGGCGCGCGCCGCCCGGGCCGGGCCGTAGTACAGGACGCAGCCCTCGGCGAGCACCAGCACCTTGTCAAAGGCGTCGTAGATGGCGTTGCCCGCCTGGTACAGCGTGGCGACGACGGTCGTGCGGTCCGTGTCGGCCGCGTGGCGCAGCATCTCGACAAACTCGAGCGCCGTCTTGCTGTCGAGTCCGCGCGTCGGCTGGTCCCACAGCTGCACGGGGCTCTGGGCCGCCAGCACCTCCGCCAGCGACACGCGCTTGCGCTCGCCGCCCGACACGCCGCGGATGAACTCGTTGCCCACCTTGGTGTGCGCCGTGTGCGCGATGCCCAGGCTGCCCAGCACGCGGCTGCGCGCCGCCGCGACGAAGGTCTGGCTGTCCGTCGGGCTGTCTTTCTGGCCATCCATAGGCCGCGTGCGCGGCGTCTTGTTCTTGAGCGCAAACGTCAGCGTCTGGTCCACCGACAGCGTCGGAAAGTGGATGTCGTCCTCCGTGTTGAGCGTAATCTGCTGCCGGAACCGCCGCGCCGCCACGTGGTCCATGCTGCCGTAGTGGATGGCCCCGCGGACCGTGCCCGACCCCGACTCAAACGACGCCCGGTCGTTGGCCAGCACCCGCAGCAGCGACGTGCACCCCGCGCCCGGCCGCCCCAGCACCAGCAGCATCTCTCCCGGCAGCACCTGCCCCGACACCTCGTGCAAGATGTCCCGCTGCGGCGGCTTCGCGCCGCCGATGCTCGCCAGCAGCACGCGCGGGTCGATGCGCGAGAAGAGCGTCTCGCCCAGCACCGCGCCCGACGCCTGCACGCGCACCGTCACGTCCTGGAACGTGAGCGTCAGCCGCTTTCGGCCGGCGCCCGTGTCTATAGCGTGCTCCGCATCACGCACGTCGGTGTCGCTGTCAAAGAGGCCTCCTCCCGGAGACACGCCGTCTTTTTCCCTGATCTTGTCGACGGCGGTGTTGGCGTTGTCGTTGGCGTTGTCGTTGACATTGTCGTTGACATTGACGTCGGTGGCACTGCTGCCACCGCTGGCTGTAGCAGCGTCCATGGCGGTCTATTGTTGGTGGAGGACGATGGGATCGCTGTCGTGATGCTGGTCATCCAGCAAGGCTGTCTTGCAAGTCGACAGGAAAGCGTAACGACAGCAGCGTGGGAGCCTATATAAGCGAAGACGAGCAAGACCAACAAGACAATAGGACACGGCGGACCAGCTCTACTGGCAGCATCTTACGCCGCGTCTGCGTTTCTATATCCATCGTCCCCTGTCTGCTTCGTGTGGATCCATGAGCAAGAATGGCGATGTGCTCTGTGCCTTGTTCTGTTTTCTGACTCGTCCTCCTCTTCGTAGTCTTTGGCCCAAATGTCAGCGTCTCCACTCCCGTCCGTTTCCGATTTTATATCATGCCATCGTTTGGGGACGGGAGCTTCGTTTTGCCTCGCTGAGAAACGCCCGTCGCGTCCGGAATACGCCTAAAACGATCAAAACGATCAAAAAGAAAGCAAAACCATGTCATTACGACAAAATTCCATGCAGGGGGGCCCACTTTCGCCGTGTTAGTGATCACATCCGTACTTCCGTCTACTTCCGTACAGCCATATCCGACGTGCCGGTTGAACGACGCACCTTAAAAAATAAAAAATAAAATAAAATAAAATAAAATGGAACAGTAAAACAACACATCCACTCTTTTCTTCATTCTGATGTGTCTTGAAATGTCAGTGCGTGTCAGCTCGCTCTCGGCCAAGAGATCGCGGGCGAGGGAAAAGGGACAAGAAAAGGGACAAAAAAAAGGGAAAGACGTCAACCAGCCCCAACCTACTTTGTATGTCGGAAGCTTGAACACCGTGTGCTCGGCGGTCCCAATGGCGCGCCTGTCCTGTGTATCTCTGGATCGCCATTTGCAGTCCTCATCCTGCCGGCGTGATGCCCTTCGCTTGGTCATCTCTTGTGGTCGTCTCTTTGCTGAGGTGACGCAACGTCTGCCAGGCTGTCCCCAAAGGCGCAATGAAATGACCGAGCTTCCTGCTCCTTGCCAAGCCATCGGCCCAGGGCGCAACTCGACCAGACTTGACGTCGTATCCGATGGCTTGGCCTGCCCTTACTCCGTAGTTCCGGATGTTGGTAACGCACCTTCACAACCCCGTGGGTGCCACCCTCTTTGTTCGTGCCTGGATCCGGCCTAGGCCACGAGCGGCAATACGAGCCAATCTCCGTCCCAGGAACAATCAGATGCAAACAAACGTGGAAACAGACGTGGAAAAGTGGAAACCTGTGCCAGGCAGTACATGTGGTAGCGTAGCCTTTGCATGTAAGTCAACGTGGTGTGCTCGGCGCGGGCTAAACAAGCGCCGATTCGGAGTTCTCGCGCACCGTCTCGCAGCTGTTGTGGGTGAGTAAACATCCGTATATCAACGGTTCACCCCCACCCAACCCCCTGGTCCCTTACCCTGTGTCAACAGCTTTAGACCTGTAGCATTTGCTCCTCTTTCCAATGGATGATTGGTTGGGACGTGTCGAGCGCAGTCTTTCCGCCGTGTCAGCTTTCGTAACCCCGGTCGCCGTTCCACGCGAAAGATGTCTTTCCCAAGGAGATTGCCGACACGTGAAAAGTCGGCGTATCAAAGGTCCATAATGCCAAGAAGACAAAGAAGAAGCGAATATAAATTCGATGCTCTCGCTGCATAGGGACAAGCCAGTCCAAAATTAAAAGAGTCAAAAAACGTAGAAGAAAAGATGTCCATACGATCGGCAGAAGATCTGCGAACGATATGTGGAAGATACCCAGAAGATGTCCAAAAATGTCCAGAAATAAACCCCCTGCATTGCGCCATTGTGTCGGCCGTCCTCGTCCTCGGCCTTGAGCTGTCCTCGTCCTCGTCCTTGTCCCCCCCCCTCAATAGTTATAAGGCATCGTCGGGTCGATGGACAGGAACGCCTCCATGTTCATTGTGCCAAAATCAAAGTCCCAGCCCAGATCGGCCGCCGTCAGGTCCAGCGGTGGCGCGTCCCCGCTGCCCGTGCCGGGCGCATCCGGTGTATGCGACGAACTGCCAGGCGCAGCACCAGCACCCCCTCCACTGCCGGGCGGCCCGTGTGGCGACTGCATCGACACTGTGCCGGTCGTGTTGTGGCCGGGTGGCGCCGACGTGGCCGACGAGTCGTCGAGCCCGCCAAATGGCGTAAAGGGGAAGAGGAGCGGCGGCAGCGCGTTGCTGAGGTTGCTGAGGCTGCTGAGGTCGGTCAGGTGTAGGCTGCCAAAGTGGCCGCCGTGGTGGGTGGTGGTGTTGGTGTTGGCGCCCGTGGCACCACCGCCATGCTGGCCGCTGCTGTCGAGAGGTCCTCCGCCGCCCAGCCCTCCTCCTCCCATGTCGGGCATGGTGGGTGGAAGCGGGTTCATCACGAGGTGCTGTTGTTGTTGCTGCCGTTGCTGGTACTGGTACTGCTGTAGCTGATGTTGTGGAACAAACGAAGACGGTGGTGCGCCGGCTGTCATACCACTGCTTCCCGCCCCGGCACCCGTACTTGGGGCAGACGTGCCATACAGAGGATCTGCCGTTGCCGATCCGCTCTCCTGGTCCGTCATCGTCATGTCGTGGTCGCCCATGCTGCCAGATGATGCCGTAGCCGTAGCTGTAGTTGTAGCTGTAGCTGTAGCCGTATCCGTGCATACATTCGTTGCTCCCGCCGCCGCCGCCCCTGCCGTCGTCGTCGTCGTGCGCCCCATGGCCTGGATCGATGGAATCCCCGGCAGCACCGTCCCCGTGCCCACCTGGTCCGCCCGGAAATCAGGGTACACAACCTGGACCATGCGCTCTAGGTTGCTCGGCAGATCGACAGGCAGAGGCCGGCCAACCTTGTGCTTGGGCAGCACCAGCTGCAGCGCGCGGATGGCCAGCTGGATCCACGGCAGGTTGGACTCGCGGCCGGCGGCGTCGTGGTGCAGGATTTCAAAGGCCAGCACCTGCGAGGCGCCTTCGATGAAGAACAAATGGTAGCGGATGGCCCGGCACATTTCGTTCTTTTCAAACGCGCGGATCAGAAACGCAATCGAGTGCCGCGCCGCGTCCAGGCAGTACTCGCAGGCGGTGTCGAGCCAGCGCGGCGGCGGCGGGTGCGGCTGCCCGGCGCCTTCGCTGTCTTCCCGGAGCAGGGTGGCGCGAATCACCAGGAACGGCCGGAACGTGAGGATGAGGGTGTGGTGGTACACTGTGATACGTCGCACGCGACAGTCAGTCATGTGTCATCGCCGGCAGAGCCCTTCGTTTTGTCCTCGCTTCACTCTTTTGTCCTCGCTTCGCTCGCCTTCTCTCGCTGCGCTCGTTCGCACATCTCAGTCCTAGGGGCAGTACTTACACGTCGACACAATCGTCTGGCGCACGCCCACCTCGCCCGACGTCGGGTCGTCAATCACGCCAAAGTTAAAGTCCTCGCGCAGCTGCTCGGCAAACGCACGCAGCTCCCGCCGGATGTCGTTGGCCGCGTTCCACATGGTCAGCAACGAATCGTGGTGGCGGCGGTAGATGCTGGCGGCGCTCTTGGACATGATGCGGGCCAGCGTCACCACGTTGTGCAGCAGCTTTTCCTCCGTGGGGAACGGCACGTCCATCTCAGACTCGGGGAACGAGCTCGGCCGGCCCAGCGAAAAGCACAGCCACGTCTCCCAAAAAAAGAGGCTCCACACTGTGACGCGCATCTGCCGCGCCGCCTCGGGCGACTGCTTGGCCGCGTGGCCCCGGCCGCTGCCGCCCACCCCCTTGTGCAGCCCCGCCGCGACGGCCTTGCGCACGGCGGTGCCCACCAGCAAAAACGACGAGTTGGGGCGGGCGCGCTCGGACGCATAGTGCGACATCATGAGGGCGATCTGGACCGTCGATACATTGACCATTTCGTCGAGGGCGACCGCCCAGCGCTGCGCCATGCGGTACAGGTACTGGGCAGCCAGCTCTTCTTCGAGCATGGTGGCGCCGAGGGCGAGCGCCAGCAGGACAATGACCGTGTCCGGGTCGCCCTCGGTCAGCAGGGAGGTGGCGTCGTAGAAGCCGGCGAGGCGCTGCCGGAAGGTGTCGCGCGTCCAGATGGGCAGCACGAGCCAAAAGGTGGCCAGGTAGCGCTCCAGAAGGCGCTCGGCGAGCGCGCGGTCGATGAACATGGAGGCGCCGTCGGTAAAGGAGCCGTTGCCGCAGAGGTTGAACGAGGACTCGGCGCCGTTGGTCAGGTCGCCAAAGTAGAGGCGCCGGTTGTTGAACAGGTCGAGGCCGGGGCCGAACTCTTCGACTTCGCGCGTGGTTTCGGCCTCGTCGTGGTCGTCGTCCTCGTCCTCGTCGTCGCGGTCGTCGTCCTGCTCGTCCTGCTCGTGTGTGCCGCCGCCATTTGCGCCCTCCTCGCCATGCGCGCCGTTGGCCTTTGCAGCCTTTCGCCTTCGCGCTTCGGCCGCGGTCCGGCCTTCGATGCGGTGGTAGATGGCGTTCAAGAGGGAAAAGTTGGACGACGGGCCGTAGTACAGCTGCAAAAAGACGGACGGCGACGCGCGGTGGGTCGCTGCCACGCTGTGGTTCTGCAGGCTGCTGTTGCGGCCGCCCGAGGCCGAGGACGGCGTGTCGGCAGGGCGCGTCGCGGCCCCTGAGGCAGGACGCCGCGGATGGGACCGAGGGCTGCTGTGGTTGCCGCCGTCGCTGCCGCGGCCGGCGTTCGCACCGGCCCCCAGCAAATCGCTCTTCTTCGTCCGGTTGCGTGCCTTCGTCCGGTACTCGCAGACGACATCCCGAAACTGGCAGCGCTGGCACGGCTCGCCGCCGTCGCAGCGGATCTTGCGCAGGCGGCACTCCTCGCACGCCTTGGAGATGCGCAGCTTGGAGCGGTCCATGTCGGCGAGGTTGGCGAGGTTGGCGAGGCGGGCGAGGCGGGCGAGGCGGGCGAGGCGGGCGTCAGTCGCATCCGCCGGGTGTTGCGTCGCAGGTCGGCGTCGCGGCCGCTGTCTCGGTCTCTCGGTGGAGGCTTCGGTCACAATAGCCCCGTGGCGGGAGGGAGGGGAGGTCGGAGTGTTTCTGTGGATGCAGAATCGAACAGAATGGACCGTCGGGATTGTCGGCAAGCCCCCTACCGGCCTGCAGTCCAATTGCCGGGAAAGTGCGACCGGCGGAAGGAAGGAGTCGGACAGGTCAATTGAGGCAGGAGTGGAAATTAGAATGGGCACAGATGGAAAGAGCGATCAAGCAGCCCGAATCTCACGATCTTCAGGCTCTCATCCTCGAGGCAAACTCGCTCTGTACGTCACGGCTTAGTCACGGAAGCTGAAAATCTGGCGGTTCGGGAAGGATTCGTCCGAACGTCAGATACGTCCGACCGTCATCTTTCGAATGCTGTGTTGGCGTAAGGCGAACGGATGGACCAACCGTATAGCGTAAGCTCCTATTGAGGGACGAAAAATATGTTTAAAATTAGCGCGGGCATTTGCCGATGAAAATACAACATGTTCTATGCCAATGTGACCCTGAATCCTCACTGCAATTACAGCGCCTGCCAGCGCCCGAAAGGGTGCAATCGCGATCATTACAGTGCGGCAGGCAATGTTCGTCTCACAAGTCACAACGCAAAAGTACGGAAAACGCAAGGAACAGAATTAGACGGGACGGAGCCTTGGATTGAGATGCAAGTCAGATCGATGAATAAACAATCCATTTTGTCTTTGCCACTCCCATCTGCAATAAGCCGAAGAAAACATGAGGAATAAAACAAAAGTAAATCAACATGAAGACTTGCAGATATCCGCTGATCCATATTCGTAATCGAGATATCCTAAGAGAAAGAAAGCCTCATATGACTGGGTATCAAAAAGAGGGGGAAATTAAAAACACGAATGAAGAGTAAAGTAAGAAACAAACAACACAATCTCTCAGCACCAAAACAAATCCCACGGACCCTGGTTTCTCCATCGACCAGTCATCTCTCTCTCTCAGTCGCCATCTTTGACTTTCCGTGTCTCGTCTCTTCTCTTCCCTTTCTTCTTGTTGTTCGTTCTCCACCGGTCAGGCCCCGAGGTGCACAAAGTAGCACAAAATAAACGTGGGTAGGCGTAAGCTCGAGAAAGAAACGGACTAGGTCTATTAGTCTACTTATCCCGCCGCGTCAAGGCTGCCCGGGCTCTGCCGCGCACATATTGCCGCATTGTCCTGGCCCACTCCTGTCTGCATTTGCGCACGACGGGGTCGGCCAGTGCAATATGCGTATAGAAGTCGATGCTTTGCTGGACGCGGTCAAACCCAAATCTGTGATAGTCCAGGCCACAGTCACCTCACCTAGCGGTAAGGCTGTACCTCTGGCAACATTCTTGGTCGCTGGTGCGACAAATTTGCCCAGCCGGAGCTGTGGTACCCCATCAATATGGTCAACCGAATGAGACCTACACTCGATGAGTGTACCGACAACCTTTACGCTATTGCAGCACGCATCCCACAGGATTCTGCACTTGCCCGACACATACTGTGGGTTTCATACCGGGTCAAGAAAGCTATAGACGACAAGAAGCCGCGTTCTCAGGCTCCTTTCGTTAAGTCTATCCGCTCTATCCCCAGTAGATCGCAAGGTCTCAAGTCGTCAGATATCGGCGACTACATCGCAGCGCTCGTATACGGCGACGACCGCATCCAACAGGACTGTCGCCGCATCATTGACGGGTACAATGACCCTCGCTTCAAAATTCCGGACACACCCTGCGAGAACCCAGTCACTTTTAATATCATCAATCCGCCTCGTCTAGATGGTCTCCCCCGAGAGAGAGTGGCCGACCCCCGGGCTCCAGTAAGCCTACCGCAAGGTCCTGATCTGGCTGAGGCTGACGTTCAGCAAGCCATCCGGGAAGCCGCCTTAACCGACCGACGCCTTTTCGGTGCCAACGGTGATTTCGACGTCACAGTTCCTCTGCTCCGATACTTGCACGACATCTCCGTGGGTATCACCTCTCCGATCGAATCCATCTCAGCCGCAGCGGCTTGGCCCAAGGACTCCATTCGATCTTGAATTTCAATGTCGCTCTCGCCTGTCGGGTTGCGATACAGAGACTCGACGATGCCCGCGGTGATGTAGAATATAAATCGATAGAAAGTTGGCCCTTGTTCGGGCGCGGGCTCGATCATGGCAATCAGATTTTGTTTCTTAGGGCTTCGTTCCTGGTTGAACACGTGCCAGACAGCCGTGTATCGATCCTCAAAGTCACTCTCCGTGACGCCGAACGCCCGTGGTGTTTCCTTCTCCCAGGCCCGCCGATCCCAAAAGAGGCAGCTCGCACGGCCGGGCGGAGCCAGACCCATGGATGCCAAGATGTCCTACGCCAGCATTGCCATATTCCACCGGTACTGAAGAATCGACGTCAACATAGTGTCCGTCTTGGCCAGGTATTCTTGCGGGCTCTGTGGACGACGGTCGACGGTCAGTCAAACATCAAATATCAAAATGCACAGCTGTGTGGAGGGTTTGTTTGCGACGCACCGCAGGCGCCAACCAGATCTGTGACTGTACGAGGCCATGAAAAAGGTAGTTGAAGGCGAAAAAATCTGCGACAAACCATCCCGTCAATGTCATGGGCGGCCAGCTGCGCCGAGGCGTGTGTCGCTGCCACGATTCTGGTCTTGGGGCCGTTTCGGGGTGGCGTCAAGGTTGCAAACATGTTGGTTTGGAGAGTTGGGTCTTGGGCATGACCATCTCTTGGTAGAGGGAGGAAAAACGCAAGAAAAACGTACAAAGTCGAAGGATGAATGTGGCCTGCTAAATATTTGTCAAAACAAGCTGTGGGTGCTGTGTAACGTGCAATTACGAAGGGCAACGTGATATCACGGGGCTGAGGTCCGTCACGTGATTGTTTACAAAGTATATCGTTGGACGACGGTACGTCAGACCTGTTGTCTAGTCTAGCTGTTAGGGGGCTCTCTACTTTGCAAGTTGGCTCAGTGGTAGCGGTCTAGTTCCTATATATATCCTCACGACGACGAGGAACATAAGTCTTTCCCACCGATGGCCTACTCGGACTTTATTTTGACCTCGTTGATGAAGCAATGTCTGCCGGCCAACCTTCCCCTCCTCCGCCGCCTCACGGCGGCATCGCTCTCTTCACGACGTCTCCAAGGTTGGCCATGACATTAGGACACAGCCCGTCGTACGTGTCGCCCTGGACGAGGTCAAACGCGGCCGGTGCCGCCACGTCTGGGTGGCCGAGGCGGACCAGCGTGGCTTCGTCCTCGACATAGAGCGGCCAACCGAGATCGAGCAGGCCCTTCTGGGGGTCCTTGGCGAACGCGACCCAGGCCGTCTGCATGTAGGCGCTGAGGGCGTCCTGCGCGGGCGTGTTGGGGCCGCCAAACGTGTCGGCGGTGCCAAAGACCATGGGGAACTCGCTGCCGTGGTAGGCGCGCATCCAGGGCAGCGGGTTCATGTTGGGGAAGACGCCAAAGTAGCGGTAGCGCCAGGTGGGGTGGTGGCCGGCACCGTAGACCTGGCGGGCCTTGGCGGCGACGGCGGCCGGGCAGACAAACAGGCCCGACAGGAGGTCGAGCGTCTCCTGGTCGGGCGGCTCGCCGGTCCAGGGGTAGTAGAGCGAGGCCATCTCGTTGTCGACGTTGCCGATGACGGTGGGCAGGCGCGAGTAGAGCCCGCGGACCTGCAGGTCGGTGTAGTTGCCGAAGCTGGTCTCGTTGTCGGACTGCGGCTGGAAGCCGAGGACGCGCCCGCCGTGCTGCCGGCTGTCGTAGCCGTTGAGGACCGCCATGATGGTGGGGGCGGGGACGTTCTGCATGCACTGGAACTCCGCGTCGTAGTCGTCTGTGTCCGACGCACAGCCCACCTGCGCGGCCACATAGGTAAAGTTGGACACGTCCCGCGGGTCGGCCGTGAACTCGCCCTGGCCCGACATGCAAATGTACCCCTGGACCAGCGGATCGTGCGCCCATGCATACGCGTACTTGTCCACGTGCGAGCCGCCCGCCGAGTTGCCGAACAGCACCATGCGGTTCGGGTCGCCGCCAAAGTGGCCAATGTTGTTGTACACCCACTGGACAGCCATGCGGACGTCCAAAAAGGCCGGGTTGAGGTGCCGACCGTCGAGCGCCCCGGCCCGGGGGAAGCCAAAGATGTTGAGCCGGTAATTGATGGACACAACGACCACATCGTCCGGAAAGCGCGCCACCAGCCGGTTGCCGCGCATATACGGCGAGGCGCTGCCGCCGGTCATGAGCGCGCCGCCGTGGATCCAAATCAGGACAGCCTTTTTGGTCGGTGGACCGTCGCAGCCGTGGCGTGCCGTCCACACGTCCAGCGTCAGACAGTCTTCCGACGCCTCCAGGTCCTCGGGCATCGCATGGCCCGCCCGTTCTGCGTAAAATGTGCGCACGCCATTGTCGTGCTGGAAGCAGTACGATCCATACTTCGTGGCGTCCACGACGGCGCCGTCTGCGAGGGGTCGTTTGGTGACGGGCGGCCGGAATCGGAGAGGCCCCACGGGTGGCTCGGCAAAGGGGATGCCGAGAAACTGCCGGACAGTCGGCGTCTCGTCGGACACGGCGCCTTGGTAGGTGAAGAGGGATGTGCGGACAACAAGGTCGTCGGGGCAGGCTGTTGTGTTGCTGCCAATGTCAGCCAGGAAATGTTGGCCAGCAGGCTTGTATTCGGCGTCAGCAGCTCGTCCAACTTGCAACGACGCGGCGACAGCCAAGAACGTCAAGAATGAGGCCAGTCGTGGCCGTGGCCATATTCTAGAGGTCATTTCGCGGTGTGTTGAAGGAAAGATGCAGAAAAGCGGTGACAGCAATTCCCGGCTCGTTCGTTGCTACGCTGTTGATATATCCGTGGGCATAACGCTTCTCCGCGTTTGTTGTCTTGCTCGATTCCCCGCACGGAGGACGAACCCCGGCTCCGAGGGGTCAGGCTGCCATTGCGGGTGGTTTGTTGACAATGTCGCAGCGGTGATTCAAGGATGCCAACCGCTAGCCGTTTAGGGCTGGGAACATATACGAACAACACGTCGACAGCACACATCTGCATGCGGAATTGCATTTTCCGACACGGCTCCACTTTCGCTACGATTCGACTTACCGTAGGGAACTCCTGGAGGATCGACCTAGCATAGCAGACAAAGTAGCAATATGTGGACGGCAGTTGACAGCAGACTTTGTGGAATAGGAGAGAGGAAAGAAATTCAGGGAAAGAATTATAAGAAAACCCAGAGTCTCAGCCTGTCCGTCAAGAGCCTATATAAACTATCCACATGCTGTGAGGCTTCTTCCATTTCCTGATATTTTCGTTTATTTTGGAGACTATTTTGCCGTAGTTTCCAACACGTCTTCGCTCCATGTGACCTTATGGCCAAAAAAAAAAAAAATAGACCGAGGTGGAGGAGATGCCGGTCGCCGAACATCGTCCTTTGAAAAAGTTGCCCGGCTCGAGATGGGACGACACGAGGCCCCCGAAGCCCGCTGTGCCGAGGCCGACTGTTAGTCGTTCCGCTTCCTAGGTGTTTCCAGGCAGCCAAGAAGCCCGACAACAGGTCTGTGACAATCATAGACACTGCTCGGGTGGAACTGCTAAGCCGAGATGAACACATGGCTCTTGGATGCGATTGTTTTTATAGCTTTCAAGTAGGTTGTGTTAGTAAATTTATTTCGAGGCGACTTGACATGCTTAACCACTTTAACATACCTCAGAACTGCAATCGCTCCCGGTGCTAACATCATAGGGAAATCGAAATCAATTGAGTATCCAAGCCATCGCTTCACAAAGCAGCGGAGGATGAGACCATGAGCGACCTGTGAGTTGCGTCTTAGCGTATGCAGTCAACAAGACGTGAAGAAAAGTCAACCAAGACGAAACGTACAACTAACACGTCACCGGGCTTCGTGAGCTCACTCGCCTCCATGCAGGGACGTTGTATATCATGGATTTTTGAGATGAGCCTGTCAAGCCTTTGCGCAACATCTTGCATAGATCTAAAATGGTCATGTCAGTTTCGGCCGCTGTCTTGCATAGTCGTAAAGCAAAAAAGAAAAGCATAACCTACTCTCCGCCTTCACAACCATCGCGCCAAATGGACCATTCTTTCTCAAGGTCCAAACCACGTTCCTTCCTGGAGAGCCTAATTTCACCAGTCGTTTTGCCTTCGTAATCGCCATAAGCCCACTCTGCAATGTCTTCCGTTTCCGTGACACGCATATTGGTGCTCTCGGAGAGAAGGATTTTCAAGGTGTCTTTAGCCCTCATCCGCGGACTGACAAAAACGTGCGCAAGGATGGATGGATCAATCAACTTGCGAGCGCCCACAAACGTATTCGCCGTTGTCGAGACCTGTACGATACCGGTTTCCGTGAGGCCAACTTCCGTGATGCCCGTGTAGCGGCCGATCTTGGCCCACGAGGTCTTCCCTGTTTATAAGATGACGGGTCAGGTATGTTTCACGGGCACTGGCATGGCGCATAATAAAAACACGCGGCGTTGAGGCTATTTGGTCCGACATGAGGTCAGAGTTGATATGATAGTCATGATGTGTGTTTTTATCCCTCGATTCAAAAAAACGAGAGACGGAACATATAAATGTATACCAAGTGTGACCCGGCCTGACGTGGCGACTTGCTACTGGCTAATATTCTGTTGGATAAGAAAGAGTATATACTGACAAAAGGAGCCGGCAGGTTGGCCATGCTTTTTACTCTTGCACTTGAGCACAACAGGAGGTAACACAGGCATATAGCTGGGCAAACGGGTGATACGGAGTGTGATTCAGCGTCTGTAGAAGAGGTCTCGTGAGCGTGAGAGGCGCGTCACAATGACAGTCGACGCCGCTGCATATTCCAAATTGTCTGTTGTATGTTTTGTCGTCTATTGTCTAAACTGAAACAATTATACTTTACGACACACAATAGTCAGCAATAATCTGCAAGATTGGCAAATATGACCCAGTAGCAAGTTGGGAAGCATAACCTCTTGAAGCCTTTTGCCAATGTAGAAGCTCTGACCTGTATAGTCGTTTTCTCATTTGCATATTGTACAATCTGCCTCTCGTTTTCTTTACCCTCAGTTTTGAATTATGTTTGAATCAATGCATCTCCCGAGCGATACCGCTGTGGCGAACCGGGCAAGTCCGACTCGCTGGGGAACTGTTGATCTGTTGGTTGTGAGGGGAAGCTGTAGACTCAGCAGGGTACAGGCTGGAGTTGCCGGATTGGGACAGCAATCGAGCATTGGTCCAGCCCAACTGCCACGGTGGATCTTGAAGCCCCACTGTTTTTTAGTTGTGTCTCCTGTTCTAGTGCTCCAACTCCGCCGATATCTCTGGCCAGTTACGTGAAACCAGTGATGGTTGGTGGCGGTCGGCGTCTCCAGCGCTGGACTCCGGGGCTCCAGGCGGATTAACAGCGACTGACTGGCCTTAAAGTAGCCGCTACCCCGCAAAATGAAAGATACGACAGAACAAGAGGACAAACAGAACGAGGACACAAGAAAGTTGAAAAACATAGAAAATCTACGTATCAAGCCAATCGCCCTCACGGCACTGTATTTGTCCTCTTGCGGGAGCATCACCTCGTGCCTGACCTGACAACGACTGGCGAAGTCGAAAAATACGTCTTTGACAAATATTGATCTCGATTCGATCTCCATCCCCAGATTCGTCAACATCAACATCACCACCATCACCAACAACCAAACAAAGCACAACATCGCCTCACGACGGCATGCCGCAATCGATCAAACGCCAATTGCATGACACAAACACAGACACAGACACACAACCATCACCGAAGAAAAAGTGCACTCATGCCACCATGAGCCGCCACATCAAGTCCCGGTCCGGGTGTCGGGTCTGCAAAGCCAAGCGCCTCAAATGCGACGAGACCACGCCCGCCTGCCGCAACTGCATCAACCGCGGCATTGCCTGTCCGGGCTACCGGCAGGTGCTGCGGTGGTCGACCAAGTACGAGAATCCCGCGCCGAAGCCAACGGGAGGACGAAGGTCCAGCACAGCAGCCGCCATTCCCGAGTTCTCGGAGCTGGTCACGGCCGCATCGCAGTCCATCAAACCGAGGAGCCTACCAAAGGATGCACAGACTGTGCCGAACGCACACGCAGCACCCTCCGAGTCGACAGGCTCGTTTGACGCCTTTGATCCCTTTGAGCCCGCGGTCAAGACGGAGACGGCACCAGCAACACGGCAGCCATTATCACAAGTGCGTCCAGCCCAACCAGTGGCGCGAGCACCGTCACTTCCCGTCTCTTCTTTGTCGCCCGCTTCCTCGACGTCCTCCTCGTCCACCGCATCCTATGGCCCGCATGGCCCGCCCGTTGTGCCCGTCCTCGCGGAGAACAATGTGGCCGGTCCATACTCATTCTCCTACTCCATGCCACCCACATCGTCCGCAGCAGCAACCGCTCCGCCACAATCGTCTTTGATCGCGACCACCGGCCATTGGCAGCTCACACAACTGGGTGGTGTGTCTGTTACCTCGTTTATGGACGAGACTGCTGTGCTTCTCGACGGGGTCGACCACGATCTCGACCACGATCTCGACCACGAACAAGACAACGATGAATCCTACACGCTCGAGCTGTGGCAGCCAGAGCGCTTCACCCGCACTCCATACCAGCTGCAGAAACAGCCTCACCCCGTCCGCGGTCTCAGTATGCCCGGCACCTCCCTCGTCGAGCTGTGGTTCTCCTCTGTCTGCGGCATGTGGGCCGCCTACGACTCGCCCGCCAATCCCTTCCGGCGGCTGTGCTCCGCGCTGTGGTCCAGCAACGAGGCCGTCTTCTTTTCGCTGCAGACCATGGCCGCGGCGTCTCTCCCGAAACGGCCGCCCAGCGTCAGCGAGATTGTCCTGGTGGCCCCACAGATGTCGACGCAAGCGCTGATTCACGAGCTGCAGGAGCTGTTTGGGCCCAGCGCCGGCGTCCACCGGGCCGGCATCGACGCCGTGCCAAGCGCCTGCGACACCAGCACACCGCCGCCCAAAGGCTTCCCGGCCGGCCTGCTGACCTCCCTCTTCTGCATGAGCTCCTCGCTGAGCTGGATCGACGCCCGCCAGCTCGGCATCCAGTACCTGCGCAACGCCCGCTCCGTCATTGACTTGCTCGACCTGCGGGCCGCCCAGCTGTCCGCCGACGACCGCGAGCTGCTCGAGTTCTTCCGCGGCTGCCTGCTGTACGAGGAAATGCTCCGCAGCATTGTCTCCGACGACCAGGACGACATCCAGGCGCTGCTGGCCTGGCGCCCGCCCACGGTCACGGTCACGGCACAACCGCCCGGCACGACGACGGACCTGCGCCTCCACGCCTGGGCCGGCGTGCCCATTGTGCTCATTGGCCTCTTTGGCAAAGTCATGGCCCTCTGCCGCCGCTCGCGCAAGGCCTGGCGCACGGCGGCCCGCGCCGCCACGTACCAGTTGCTGTACCAGGCCATGCAGGACATCCAAGAGGGCCAGGCCCTGGAGGCCGTGCTGCTCGCCATGGAGATTCCCGCGCCCGACCCGTCGGTGGCGGCAACGGCAGCGGCAGCGGACGCCCAGTTGCAGGGCCACATCTACAAAGCCGCCGAAGCCTTCAGGCTGTCGTCCCTCCTCCAGCTCTACCAGACCTTTCCCGACCTCGTGTCGCAGCACCAGAGCCCCACAGGAGCAGGGCCGGGACAGACGCTGCTGGGCCCTCCCATGGGCGACCACGCCGCCCCGGCCAACGGCCGCTGGCTGCTGCCCCTGGTCCTCCACATGGTCGACCTCATCCGCGGCATCCCCGCCGACTCGCCCATGCGCTGCCTGCAGCCGCTGCTGTGCCTGTGTGCAGGGAGTGCGTTGCGGGTCGAGGGCCCCGCGGACGAGCCGGCAGACCGGTCACCGGCCACGTCAGCCGTGGATCTTGTTCTTGTCAGCGGGCGGGCTGCGGACGGCGGTGGTGGTGGCATGCCGATGGTGGCCGAGTTTGACTTTCCACTGGCGACGGATGGGGGCAAAACGCTGTCACTGTCACTGTCGGCCGCCGGCACCGCCGACAGCACGGCAGTCCACCGCGCCCGCGATACCCTCCGCACCCGTCTCGCCAAACTCGAACAGAACCTGCCGCCGCGCCCCATCACGGTCGCCCGCCAGCTTCTCGAGACCGTCTGGCTCACCTACGACACGGAAACGCCGCCGAGCCGGAGCCACTGGCTGGACATTATGGCCGAGACCAACTTTGAGAGTGTTTTCGGATAGGCGAGCGAGGCAGTTGCCTTGCTACCAAGTTGACGATTGTAACGAATTGAATGGGTTGCATTGGATCTACGTAAACTGGACGAGAGCAGAGTGACAACGTGACTGAAAGACCTGACAAATTGTATGTAATCACGATGAACATGGAAAAGAAACCAGACCAAGACTCAAAAGCAATCCAATGCCCTACTGCCGACTTCGACGTCCCGCCTACAACCTTGACTTCATGTTGATGTGGATGGCCTTGATGGTCGAGTAGGCCTCGAGACCGGCCTCGCCCAGCTCGCGGCCGATGCCGCTCTGCTTCACGCCGCCAAAGGGGATGCGCCAGTCGCTGTCGTTGCTCGAGTTGATCCACACCATGCCGGCCTCGAGCTTCTTGGCCACCCGGTGCGCGCGCGTCAGGTCCGTCGTGAAGAGCGCCGCGCCCAGGCCGTACTCGGTGTTGTTGGCCAGCGCCACCGCCTCCGCCTCCGTCGCAAACTTGCCAATCACCACAAAGGGGCCAAACACCTCCTCCTGGAAGATGCGCATCGTCGGCTGCACGTCCGTAAAGACGGTGGGCTCCACAAAGTAGCCCTTGCCGCCAGCGCCGGCGGTCGTGGCGGCGCGGCCGCCCGCCACGAGGGTGGCGCCTTCGGCCTTGCCGACGTCGACGTACGACAGCACGCGGTCGTACTGGGCCTTGGTCACCTGCGGGCCCTGGAAGGTGGCGTCGGCAAAGGGGTCGCCGACCTTGGAGATGGCGCGCACCTGCTTCTGGAAGGCGGCCAAAAACTTGTCGTAGACGGACGCGTGCACGAGGATGCGCGACGTGGCCGTGCAGATCTGGCCCTGGTTCGACATGATGCCGCCGTGCGCCCACTCGACGGCCTGGTCGAGGTCGGCGTCGGCAAAGACAAGCAGCGGGCTTTTGCCGCCCGTCTCGAGCGTGATGTTCTTGAGCGTGCCGCTGGCCATCTTCATAATCTGCCGCGCCGTCGCCGTCGAGCCCGTAAACGCAATCTTGTCCACGCGGGGGTGCGTCGCCAGCGCCGCGCCCGTCACGGCGCCCGGCCCGTTGAGGATGTTGACGACGCCCGGCGGGAAGCCCGCGGCCACCACGAGGTTGGCAAAGTACAGGATGCTCAGCGGCGTCTGCTCGGCCGGCTTGAGCACCACGGCGTTGCCGCACGCCAGCGCGGGGCCCAGCTTCCACGCCGCCATCGACAGCGGGTAGTTCCACGGGATGATCTGGCCGCAGACGCCCACGGGCTCGCGGATCGTGTACGCCAGCTTG